CATATGTTCGAAAGTGCTAAATGTTGCATTTTAAATGCAGCAAAAACGGTGCATTACCCATTTTGTTGTGTACTGGAATGATTTCTGGACTGATTTGGCCAGCCGCGGGATTTCGCGTTGCGTACGGGAAAGAACCTCATGTGATTTGGTGCTAAGTAATTGTTGATGAATCCAGCTGACAGATGTCGCCCCTTGAGTCGGTCTGTTCGTTTTTGTAGTTAACAAATCGCAGCTTGCTTCTGTGATTTTCCGGCAAACAACTTTCTTTCTCTCATCATCGCTCGACTAGAACGGAAGCGTTGAAAAAGATTTTGAGAAATGGTAAGAAAAATTTTAAATTGTTAAGTTTTTTTTGGCACTGCCAATATATTAAAAGAGACTTGCATTCTAGCAGTAACCTTTTCGAGGTGAAATGCATAAATAATCTAACAGTAAACGCCAAAATTCTACCCTCTTGTCTGTATGTACACGTGGTTGGAAATCTGCAATTATATTGGATTCATTGAATTGCCGTTTTAAAGTGAATTTTATTGCCTATTTACAGTCTCATCGTAAATTCTCTGCGCCTCGCCATGGCTCTATGTCATTCAACCCTAAAAAGCGCTCACGCCGTCATCGTGGTAAGGTTAAGGCCTTCCCCAAGGATGATCCCAGCAAGCCAGTTCATCTAACGTGCTTCATTGGGTACAAAGCTGGCATGACTCATATCGTGCGTGAGGCTGATCGTCCTGGATCTAGTAAGTTAGCTTTTCTTATGAGCTATACATATGCATTTAAATAATTTTCTATGATGAGAAACAGTTAAAAATTTATGGTTAGAAAACAAATGATGTCCATGATTTTAATACAACTAGGGCGAACTGATTTGTTATATGACAAATAATTGCTAAGAAAAAAAAAACACGTGGTCTAAATTTGAGTAATTGTCTTGCAGAGATCAACAAGAAGGAGGTCGTTGAAGCAGTAACCGTTTTGGAAACTCCACCAATGATTGTTGTTGGTGCTGTAGGTTACATTGAAACCCCGTATGGTCTTCGAGCTCTCGTTAACGTATGGGCACAGCATTTGTCTGAAGAGTGCCGTCGCCGCTTCTACAAGAACTGGTATGTTGTTTTATCATAACCTCAAATATGTGTATAATATATATGTATCCCTTTTGTACTGGAGAGGGAATTGACGCATGAACACGTGTTGATTTCTTTAATCTTGTATGATGATAGATGGTAACTGACTTCTTTGAAGATACTAATATTTACCATCCCTGCCTGCCTTCCTTCTGATTAAAAATTAAAGAAATCAATTTCGCAGTATTTTCCCTCTTTCATTGTTTGCTCATCTAAAAAAAACTTTTACTAAAAAATCAATTAAAATCAAAGCTCTTGGATCAGCGTGCTGAGAGGGCTTTTAAAATATGTATTAGTCGTGTGAGCGCCATATGGTTTACTAGGAATTCATTTTGAATTTCGGCATTCCGATATGTGTACTTTTAAATCGTGAGCACGGCATGGAAGATTGATCTCCGCTCGCTGTTAAATGCGATGAGGTCGACTTCATTTCTTCTTTTTGTCAGTCGGAATTTCAATAGCAAAGAAGTTGAGTGTTGCGCCCACCCAATGGAGCTGAGAGCAAACTACAAGGCTGCATTTTTGTCCCGCTAATTACACTGATTTCCGCTGTCAATATGTAGTTCTCTGATTTTTGAGTTGACGATTGCAATCTGCCTCGATTCAGGTACAAGTCCAAGAAGAAGGCTTTCACCAAGGCCAGCAAGAAGTGGGAAGTTGACTTGGGCAAGAAGAGCATTGAGAATGACTTCCGCAAGATGCTGCGTTACTGCAAGGTGATCCGCGTCATTGCTCACTCGCAGGTAATTATTGAAAATAAAATTTACTTTGTATTGTAATGTATTTACGTAAGCAATTAATGCGACGTCCTTGGTTCGCAGCGTTGGATGTGCTCTGCAATCTTTGGATGAATGAGTGCGTCTAATGTAGTGTTCCTAAAAGGCGGTTTTGCTGTGATGTTCAATGCACAGTTATATAACCGCAACGTCGCAGAGTAAATTGCCCTTCGGGTGGCGATTCTTGATATATTCCAGTAACGGTGCATAGCCGCTTAGGCGATAACTGCGCAGTTAAATCATATCACGTACAGTATAAATTTAAGACAAAAATTTTACATCTTCGAGAATGTATCAAATTTTACTTTATCCCATTTAGATTCGCTTGATCAAGCAACGTCAAAAGAAGGCCCACATTATGGAAATCCAATTGAACGGTGGTTCTATCGAGGATAAGGTCAAATGGGTGCGTGAAAACTTGGAGAAACCCGTGCAGGTCAGCAATGTCTTCGGACAGGATGAGATGATTGACTGCGTTGGTGTTACCAAGGGTAAAGGTTTCAAGGGCGTCACTGCTCGTTGGCATACAAAGAAATTACCACGTAAGACGCACAAGGGTCTGCGCAAGGTTGCCTGTATTGGCGCTTGGCATCCATCTCGTGTGTCATTCACCGTGGCTCGTGCCGGTCAAAAGGGTTACCATCACCGTACCGAAATCAACAAGAAGATCTATCGCATCGGTGCCGGAATCCATACCAAGGACGGCAAGGTAGGTTAAGAAAAGACCGAAAAAAATTACTCATATTCACAGCATTGATGATAAACTCATAAAGTTCCGACATCAAACATAACTTTTTATTGATAATAAAATGATAATCAAATGATAGGACTGAATTGCATAATTTATAAAAAATTTGGCTTAGAATTGGTCTTAACATACTCTAAATTTCTTTTTCGCTTTCTTTTTTGCAGGTCATCAAGAACAACGCCTCCACTGAGTACGATTTAACCGATAAGAGCATCACCCCTATGGGTGGTTTCCCCCACTATGGTGAAGTCACCAATGACTTCGTCATGCTGAAGGGTTGCTGCATTGGCTCCAAGAAGCGTGTGCTTACACTACGCAAGTCGTTATTGAAGCATACCAAGCGCTCTGCTCTAGAACAAATCAAACTCAAATTCATCGACACATCGTCGAAAATGGGTCATGGTCGTTTCCAGACTCCGGCCGACAAATTGGCATTCATGGGTCCACTCAAGAAGGATCGCATCAAGGAGGAGGCTGCTGCTGCCGCTGGTGCTGCCACCACATCAGTCACTGCTTAAGTTGTGAATTTGTATTTGTTAATTGTATTAACGCTAAATACCACATGGATTGTGGTATGAATAAAATTTAAAATAAAAATTTAAATATATTTTTATTTAGTAGTGTCATAAGTTATGACTCATAACTATAGCTTAACGTACGACATAACAAATAGAGGTGCGTCTGAGTTAGCACGGCTCTGTGCTAGCACTCTCTAATTCTAATGTTAAACGCAGTGGAACGACGAGTATAGTGTATCAGGCAAAGCGTCCGACCTGTTCGAGGCACGCAATAAAAGCGGCAATACTGCAGCACTGATGCAAATTTTCAATACTGTTGCAATTTCCAACTGATAAAACGTTGCTAGTAGTTCACACCGAACGTGATACTTTAATAATGCGCACAACACTGCGGTTGTGATTGCATCTCGAACAAGCCCGTCGTTTACAAACTTGTATGTACGCTTTGCTCTTGCTATGCGTGCTCCAATTGAAACTTGTACGTTTGTAATCGACGTTTTGCTCGGTGCTCGCGGTGCAATATTTTTAGCAAGGCGACTATAATAATTCCATTTATACGTGTAGATTCGCCTTGATTTTAGCTTAAAATAAAGTAGTTCGGGACCTTGAACCAATTTAGATCATGGCTCGGGACTAGATCTAAAAAACTCGATAGAATCGATGCTTTGTCTTTATTTGGCACTATCGATAGTGTCGTTTTTAGGTTACTATCGATAGTTGTAGCCGCCATCTTTATTTCAACTACTCGGTATTATAGGGAATTTACATGATTCAACTTTCACAGGCGATTAGTTGAACCAAAAGTTGAACGAAAGTAGGCAGCCGACCAACTTCATTGAAAGCGATTAGTTGAAAGGCCGTTTACACCAGGCGATTGTTGCTTTCAACTAAAGATCGCCTCATGTAAATTCCCTATTAATACAAATTTTCTTTCCAGTTGCGTTGCCAGCTGCCAACCGAATCGTGGTTGCGTTGCTATGCGTAATCGACCCATAAATTAGAAATTTGAGCACAAATGCTGTTATACAACTTTACTATACACTGTCTCAGTTGGAAACATAGTGTACTTAAGATTGCAGAAATTTGAAAAATGATGTAAACTATTGAATTTGTGTTTTTTTGTTGTGGTTGTTTTTTTTTATTATCGCTTTTTATTCAATCAGTAACAGAAATCATTTTATGTGTTTTAGTTGAGTTTTATTCTTCGTATTTTAAATGTTTGATCTTTTAAAATTTCTAATACATATTTTTTCAAAACTTTTTAAATCGAACTTAAAGCTTAAACAGACGGCAGCGTTGATCCGAATTAACTCGGACTTAATCCGGATCAACCGCAGTTAATTCCCGAGTTGATCCAGATCAACGCTGCCGTCTGTTTATGCTTTTATGTACATAAATTAATCATACAACAAAATTTTTAATCATTAACAAAAACCAACTTTCGTATGTATTTCTCCACAACCCATTCCTGCAATAATTGATATTTAGCATCTCTGTCCACAAAACTTTATAATCGCATTACTTTGCATATCACAGGCAATAGGATCTCAGCGTTTAAAGTACGCGATTTAATGGTTTAATAGCCATTTCCTTCTTAACTTACTTGTAGTGCGTATGGTATTCTATTGTTATGTAATAAATTATGTATTCAAGTTGACAATGTTTAAAAGTATTTACATATGTGGGTACACAGATGGTCTTAAGTGTCTGGGTTGAATGCTTTTAACTGTTGCTAAATTTGCCGTGGATACAATTACTCAAACGTGTGATTATTTTTTCAATAACGCAGTTTCTATACACTTTTGTTCTGAATGTTCGCTCCTTTCTGGTATGTAGTTGTAGTATGTAAGTGCAGCTAACAAATTGTGGGTTTCAGTTGGACAATTTGGTACTTAAAAAAAAAAAACAAAAGAAAAACAGAAAATAATAATGAAAATAAAATTGAAGGAGGATTATAAGTTACATCGAATATAATACATACATATGTACAAAACAAATGAATTAGTGTAAAAATTAGCTTAAAAGAGTTAACAAATAAAGCTAATATCTGTGGTATCCATGCTTAAAAGACTTTCAAGCAACACTTGCATTATCATTGAATTATGTTTTTACAGTCGTTTGGTATCATTTTCACATTGCAGAGTATGTACTTAAACTGGCATTCAGCAGTTAACCTTCTGATTGCGAGTTAAATCTCCATTATAAAAGCGGATTTTATGTTTATGATTTCAAATTGATATTTACATATAAACGATTATTTAGAAATACAAGCATATACTATTAACTAATTCCAAAGTGTTATCAGTCAGCATTACTTTTCTTTGGGTGTTTTGTCCTTAAAAAGATACTCGTTGGCCATACTATAAGCCAGACCCAACGTCAGGCAGCCGACTACGGTGCCTTGCGCTGCTACACGAAGTTGCATCAGAAAAACACTTGTGCTCATCGTACCACGATGCTTATACTTGTATGCGCCAATTAAACCAGCTGCTACGAAACCAGCCAAACCTGTAAAGGGGATGAATATGGTTATTTAAAAGACATGATAATATGATTTAGGCCATTAATATATACAAAGCTTAAATAAACTATCAGGCAGGTTCTGTAATTCACTTCCGAGTGAATTTCAATCAAACTCGCTTTGATTAAAAATTGGCAGGCGTTGAAATTCACTCGGAAGTGAATTCCAGAACCTGCCTGTATATATACTAATAATAAAGTTAGAAAGTGAATCCCTTTCCCGCTAGTAAATTCAAATATCTTAACTCAGCTGACGAATATAACGCATCCATTATGTACCAAAATACCTATACAACCTTACTGAAAAAATAGCTGTATGAAATGAGGTGGAGGCCAATAAGTTTGTCATTTCGCGGAAAATTTTATTCAGACTTTAGTTCCGAGAAAATATTCGCATTCCAGTACATAGTATAGCTTGTAATTATTTCTCCTACAACATTTAACACAAACACGAATTAGGTAGAGTATGAAAACATATCTACATATATTACAACATTGCAAACAATCAATACCACAAATAAGTAGAATTGAAGTTTGATTATATATGTATGTACATACATTTATTTGCAATAAACAATGATGTAGCTTGACTACAAACGCCATTTACAAGCAGTAGAGTTTATTAAAGCCACAGACACCCGAGTGGAATTATGTGTAGGTAGGGAATTGGTTTGAATTGAATAGGGATGTATGCCTTAAATATGAGGCCATGAGAACAGAAGTGGCCAACCCAAAAACCTACTTAAAATCGTCTCAAATGTGATACATTTTAAAATAAAGGTCACTTATTCCTTATTTTGATGGTACGCTATGTAGCCTTGTACCTTAAAATTAAGGAATAAGCGTTTTTTAAATTAAAATGTATTTGAGAATATTTTAAGTACAAAAAAAAAAAAAATAAAATGGGTTAGGTCACTTCTGCTCTCACGGGCTGATATGTGCACATGTGTATGTACATAAATATGTAGTTGCATAAATGCATTAAGTAAGCAAAGTATTAAACTTTTCCTCGTTAACACCTTTGCTCAAGTATTCAAGTATGTATGTACGAAATTAGACACTATTGTGAAATATAACAAACTGGCAAAAACGTAGGTATAGCTTTCATAGAACGTAAGTCAGGCTCTAATAAAATTGCTATGCTATTATGGCTCCAATAAAGGTCTGGTGTTTCCTGTTAAAAGAAATATGTTTTGAGGAAAACATATTAAGTTATGACACCATCTTTTTTT